CTTTAAGGCTAGGATTGTTGCTTGGTTTCCTTGGTTGCTACTCAGTTCTGCTGGTTGTTATTTCTCTCTTGGCCTTTATTTGGCTCTTCAGCTGTTCTATCTGTTGTTAGGTATTTATCACAATTCTATACATTGGTTATGCTTCAAAATGGATTGCTAATTTTCTCTTTGTTGACTTATCACTGTGTTTTCGATGTATTGACTTAAATCCTAATGTATTTAAATAGTTTCTTATTGCTGATATTTTTTTTAGGGCAGATTTAGTTCGTTCATAGTGACATGTTGCATGTTTCAGCCTTGTATGTCTGGTTTGTTAGTTCTAAATGTTGTTTAAGTTGTTTTGCTTGGATTGACCATTTGTATTGCTTTTTGTTTTCTTCCTATTGCTGTTAATATACATTCTCAAGAAAAAATGACTTTGTTTGGATGAGACTACCAGCAATACCTTAGTCAAACCTGAACATGTGGGCCATTTGATTTGCCAAACAGTTTATGAAGAATAGCCCAATGGCTATTTCTTCGTAAGTTTGGGAGAGTAATTGGAAGCAGAAGTCCTCAGGTAGGAAGCTCAGGCTCACGTTAGGCATTATGTTGTGTAATAAAGGGCTTCATAAGCAAAGTGCCCTTGATAACAATAGTTAAGTCTTCTGTAACGTTAAGTTTGAGGGTTGCCTGCTGATGAATGATTTGTACGAGATTTGTTTTGAAAAGGTTTGTAATAATTCATGAATTTAGCTACTGTAATCAGTAGCTATGGAGTAGGTTATCTTTGTAAATTTAACCTCTAATTTAGCTTACACATGGTTTCGAAATTTGGGTGAATGATGTTCTTCTCCAGATTTCGTCTTAACAGGGACTTCATAAATGGGCCAAACTTATAACTTGGGTCAGTTGGGAGTCCTTTGAACGAGTCTGGACCTTAGGCCATTGGGCCTGGGGTATGGAGCCCAGTAATAGGGCCTGATCGTGTATTTGTTCAGAGCTGGTGTAGCCGAAGTGTTATTATACTAGTGTTGCGAATTCAGAATGTACTTGTGCTGTAAATTTGAATCAAGTTCGATAATTCTCTTGGTTGGCTGTCGGTTATCTCATAAATTAAATTGAGTTGATAACATGTTAGTTTATAATTCCATATAATGTTTGCTTCTGGAAATTAAATGTCATCTTGAATAGTCTAAAACCCTTAGGAAAGAATGATCTGGCTCTTACAGTATATCTCCATAACGTTTGTACCTCACATGCAATCTCGAACTTTAGGATAATCAAACCATGAATATGCATAGTTTTGCTTTAGGCGCGATTAATAATAAATCATCGTGACTATGGGTATGATTCCCGTGGCATAGTTATGATACGTAACCCCAATTCGAGTGTGCGTTTCACGTGACTCGACCACAACTTCAAACAATAATAAAAACAAGCATGTCGTAAATTGCGGGTACATTTTATGTGGCGCGGGTTGCAACGTGTGCCAAAATGACAAGTGTACGACATCGTGGCTTGTTCCAAACATAATTCCATAAACAATTAAAAGCGGTTAGAAGATAAACAATGTACCGTAAGTTTTAAATATGTAATAAATCAGATAATTAGGCCAAATTATTAATAGTTGAGCGACCGTGCTAAAACCACGGAACTCGGGAGTGCCTCACACTTTTTCCCGGGTTAACAAAATTTTTTACCCGGTTTTCTGTGTTCGCGGACCATAAATAGAGTCAAATTTCCTCGATTTAGGATTTAAAATAAACCGGTGACTTGGGACACCATAAATTATTCCAAGTGGCGACTCTGATAAATAAATAATCCCATTTCGATTAATGTCACTTAAATTGGAAAAACTCCCATATCCCCCCCTTCGAGAAAAAGAAGGTGTGACAGCTCTGGCGACTCTGCTGGGGACAAGAATCCAGAATCTCTGGTTCAGGGTTCAGAATTCGAGCTTAGATGATTGTTATACTTGGCTTTTGTTGATTGTCTGATATTACATGTTTGGGCCTAGTGTGCTAATTGCCTCTCATTACCGCTTTGATATTTTGTGAATTATATACAAACTGTTACGACACCCATCTTCTATTTGAGTCTTCTAAATCTTCTGAGAAGTGTGCGCTTCGCGTGGCTTCTTTTCTGTTAGAGTCATATCCTAATTTTAGAACGAGGTTCGGATAAGTTGCAAAGCCGGTGAAGCTTCTGTATTCCCGGTATGTTTCCCCCCCCTCGGCTCGAGTTGTCCGCTCGGGTAAGCCAGGTCTAGAACAATACACCCAGGATTTAAACTTAGAATAACACAACCTCATGCCAGATCCCTAGTAGGAACGTTTGTTTGCATCACGTGCATTTGACTTTGGGACTCAACACATGGGTTGAGTCCGTCCAGGACAGGTGTACCCAAATTAAAAAATCATCATGATGCATTACTTCCTACTTGTGTATTCATTTGCTTCGGGTTGTATGTTGACCGACTTCTAGAATAGGGAAAGAAAATCAAGAAGAAAAAAAACAAGAGTGAGGTAGGTATTTGAAACATTTCGAAAATCTGCCGAAATTTTGAAAAAAAAAGGAGAGAAAATAAGCCAATATTTCAAAGGTCATGTTTCCTCAGTTCCGTCAAAACTGGATGAACTACGCGGGTCTGATTCTCACCGGATGTGATATACGTAGGCAAACTTCATCGGTTCCGGCCCACAATTTTCAAAAAATCCAAAAATATTTTCCTTTACTTCCTTATTTAGAAAGTCTTTTTTTTAGACCCCAATTTTAAAAAAATACAAAAATATTTTCCTTTTAATTTCTTCTCAAAATCCAAAAATATTTTCATTCTTCTTTCGAAAATTGAAAAGAAAATTCAAGATTCAAAAATATTTTCTTTTTTTTTTCTTTAGAAGTATTTCTTTCATAAATTCAAAATAAAATTCTAAAAATCTAAAAATATTTCCTTTCTTATTTAGAAGTTTTTCTTTCGAAATTTCGGAAAAAAAAATCGAAATACAAAAAATATTTTCTTTCTTCTTTAAAAGTCTTTATTTTCAAAAATTCAAAAAAAACTCCCTTTTTTATACACTTTATATATAAAATTATATGAAATGTGTATAAATAGCATATATGTATTATATTAGTATAACTACACCTTTCATACAAATGTGCGTACATAATTATACACATTATATATAAAATTCTCAATATTCACCGCAATCACTATAATCTTTCCCGTCCAATTTTGTATAGTACATGTATAATAAATGTATCATCATCGCATAATGTATACACAGTGATTATATAAATATTATATAATAATTATACACTAATTACACTATATATAAATAAAATGGTATTGACAGTAATGGAGGACAACCAATTTGGCTGGGATTTTGTTCTTCTACGGCAGTAGTCATTTTATTTTCTCTATTTCTCATCTTCTCATAAAATTCATCCAAAAAAGTATCATGCAATACCATATCTAAAAGTGGATAGAAAGCGAAGAAGGCGACAACCACAGTCAGAATTTTGCGGGAAATTACTTAAACAAAATAGTTTTTTTTCATCTAAGTGAAGGAGGATGAAATTGTAGATAAAATAAAGAGAAAATAAAAAAAATAATTTGGTTTCATTATAGTAGAAGAGAAGAGAAGGAAGAAAAAGGGAGAAGTGAAGAAGGGAGAAGATAAACAAAGAGGAAAAAGATGGAAGTGACTGGTAGGTTGAAAAAGGGAGAAGGTGGGGAGGGAGATGGAGGAGAAGTAGGAGAAAGAATAAAATTTTAGGATTTTGACTATTTATTAAATTGCTAATAAAATTTTAAAAGGATAGCTTGTGTAAAATAGGGACATTATTTTGAGTCGAGTGGCGATAGAGTGATGATTTCTCATGGAAAAATCTAGAACTGGGCCTCCACATTTTCGTGTATTTGTTGCTTGGGCCTCAAAAGGTCCACTAACGGCTAAAGAGAAATAGCACAAAAAGAAACAAAAAAGAAGTCAAGAAAAGGTCTAAAAATAAATCTTGTGATAACGTCGTTAACTACCGTCTTGGAAAACGTGATGGAATTAGGAAAATAGGATATATTATCCACTCCACGTCCATTATTTTGTACATCCCAAGACAAATCGCTGTAATCGCTTGCGTTACGTCACTGCCTTTGAATTGCTCTGTTTTTTATTTTCTCTTTCTTTAAATTAATTAATTTTTCCTAAAAATTGAGTGACCTTATCTGCCAGCCCAATACTGAGATCCTTCGCCTGGTCCGGTGCCCAATTCTCCTCCTAAAGAAAAGGTAAATTAAAACATCCATAAATTATGAAAATTTTGAGAATATTAAAAGGTCATACACAAACTCCTCTTTGTTTTTGCGATGCATATGATGAGCTATAAAGGAATTAATTAGTTAAGATTAACATAGCTTGTTTGTCTATACTTCTTTTTGGACAAAAATATTTTTTTACCCAAAAGTATTTAATTAAGAAAAAAATATTTTTGAGTAGAAGTAAAAGTAGTTATTAAAAAGTAGAAAAAAATATCTTTTTTCAAAAAATATTTTTTTGAAGAGTACTTTTGAGAAAAATAACTTAAAAGCACTTTTCAAAAGATTGACCAAACACTAATTATTGTACAAAAATATTTCAAATTGATTAACGAAACACAAATTACTTATCACCAAAATAATTTTAAAAAATATACTTTTCAAAATAAGCTAATTTTAAAAGTACAGCCAAACATGCTATAACACGGTATATATGGCATTGAGCTCAAGGGGAGCTTGATGAAAAAGATTTAAATTTAATTTAAATAACATTTGATTAATAATATTCTTTCATAATAATGAAATTAGTTACATAAAAATAAGATTGACAAACTGTTAGACAAGTTAAATTATAGTCCATAATCCATATAACATATTTAATTTTATATTATCGTTGCGTATAAATTAAAAATTCATTATGAAATACTTTTCCGTGGAAAAGAGCCCAAAATACTAGTAATAGATAAATCTACCCTGACACGCCGCAAAACAAAAAAGCCAGATCGGACCATTTTTCCAGTAAAGTAATTCACCGCAAGCTACTCAGAAATTGCCTTTCCCCACTTGACTTTCCAATTTATGAAATCAAGATCAATACATTTCACACATATATATACACAACAAACACAATATCATTACCTTTCTAATCATCATCAAACATATCACAGAAAATTTTCGAGAAAAACGAAAGAGCATTCAAATGGAGAAAGGGAATTCTTCAGCTGTTGCGCGAGGGCGGTTAGCTGTACTTTCAGCTCACCTCGCCGCTTCAGTCAATCTCTCCGATTCCAAACTTTTAGAAACTTCCGTTGTATCCGCCACTTCCGTCGTTGCGCCGCCGCCGAATCTAAAAGGCGCGTTGACGATTATCGATGAGCGAACCGGTAAGAGGTACCCGGTTCAAGTTTCCGAGGAAGGCACTATCAAAGCCACCGACTTGAAAAAGGTATTCATTAAATCAAATTCCGAATTTCTTTTTAATTTTGATCTCTTTACTTTCTATAATTTTGTAACTACTTTTGCGATAGTGGAAATCTCGGTCCTGTTTTTTTTTAAAATTTAAAACTGAGCTATTATAGACTGCATTAGCTGTGCTTTGGTATCAATAGGAAGCCAAATTTATTAAAAGGCTTTTAAAACTTGTTTCATAAAATATTTACAATAATGAGGCAAGAAAGGACTTGCTTTGTGATCTTTAACTCAATCAAACATGTCAATAGGAATTAGCTAATGCAGAGAAATCGAGTTGATATTAGAAAGTGAAATTGTCAGAAACATGAAAAAGAAATGAATGTACATAGATGAGTTATTGATGTTGATAAAGGATGGATGACTGTCTAAATCAGATCCAGTTTAGATTGTCAACGTTGCGAATTGGACCTTGCCTTCTTTTGTTGATGTCAACAAGGCTTTCTGAAAGTAACGATTCTATGAGTTTACTTTGGGTAGAGTTGCTTGTCATGCTTGGCCAAATCTATAATTTAAACATATGGTTTAAAGTCTAATATATCTGCTGAGCTCAACTAAGATATATCTTAGTGTGTGTGTGTGTGTATATGCCTCTGGCTATAGGCATCTGTACTACCGGCGTAGCATGTAGATGTTCTCGATTCAGGGATGCTGTAAACCCTGCTTGTTCTGTTTTTCTTAATTTCCAGCAAAGTGCGAGATAGATTATGGAGCTATTTGTCCTAGTATTTTTAAGATTGGGCCAATTGAGCTCAGCAGATATATCTTAGTGCTTGTTTCATGATCTATATCTCATTGGAGCTCTAAATTCCAAATAATTACCCATGTTATCATTTTTGTTTCTTGCCACTGTCAGCCATATTTTTTCCTGAGAATGTTTCCTAACTCCAGATATAATTGTCGTACAGATAACAGCAGGACAAAATGATAAGGGTCTCAAGCTTTATGATCCGGGCTATCTCAACACAGCACCTGTTCGGTCATCAATATGTTATATAGATGGTGATGCTGGTATCCTCAGATATCGAGGTTACCCAATTGAAGAGCTGGCTGAGGGAAGTTCCTTCTTGGAAGTGGCTTATCTTTTGAGTAAGTGCTTCTCATGAAAATCTCTATTCATTTAAATGTCTAATTACAGGTTCCTATGCTATTGCTGGCCCAGATTCATCTTTGAAGCCTTTGTACTTTTTAGTCATTGCCATTGGGGGTATCTGATGTCTAGAGTGATTTCTGAATGGATTTTGCAATCTCTTGAAACTTTTCGTAACTGTAGCTTTTTGATTATCAAATAATTGAGCAAGGTTTAAAAAGATTGTAATAGTGGTGAAGGTTTCTCTGAGTTTTAATGACAAATGGGAAAAAGTATGAATATTTGCTCAAGACTATGGCGTTTGAATAGAAATAAGATCAGATCCGCGCATCACGAGTCAATTGGATAGACGTAAAGAATCAGCTTGAGGTAGATAACTTTGACAATTTCAAACTTTCTAGGAGCTTTTTGAAGGAATAGAAAAGCATATGTCTAGGTATGAAACTCCGTAGGTGTTAAATTTCGAATCAAGCTGTAATGCTATAGAACTTTGGAGTTATAAACTGAGAAAATAGTAGGCAGTTCCGATAAACCTCCTTACCCTGGGGGAGGTTGTCCACTGGTTGTCTGGTCTGGGCCCACCAAGGGTGCACTGTGGATGCATACTTGTTCTGCTTTGATCAAGCTGAAACATTTTGAACTACGAAGCATGTTTTGCATATTTTACTTAATTATATTCTTCATATGACAACCTGAGTAAACCTATAGTACTCACACTCTATCACTAGTCCCTGCCTTCGCCTCTTCTTTCCATGGCTGATAACTCACATTAGTCTTACTTACCAAAAAAATAGAGAGATACATCAATCCCTGCATTATCTTTTTCTGCATACTTCCACGCTTATCACATGCTTTCTAAACTTCAGCACTTATTCGGTTATTCCCATTACTGAGCCTTTTTGCTTCCATTCACAATGAACTTCTTTCAGCTATACATGCAGAGGAAAACTAATGTTGCTCGAAC